CATATTTTAAGACCATCTTAAGTAATTTCTTAGCTAATATAGCCCTCTGATTGGTTTATGCGGTTATGCCTTATGCCATAAGCCTTAGTCCGCATCTACAATAGGTGTTTTAAGCCTTAAGTCATAAGAAATTGATCAATTACAATCAAATATTCTTCTCGCATTTAATTGTAATTAGTCAATTTCTTATGGCTTAAGACTTATTAAAAAGTAAAAACTTAAAAACTTATCTGCAAATCACAAATCGCGCTGTGCCAAAGCCATTAACGCTCATGCGCTTTAAGCATCAGCATCCAATGCAAAATATATCACATGTGAATAAAAAAATTAAAAATTTAATTTACTTAATAATCTATATTGTAGTTATATAATCTCTCTTTTAAGAAAAATTAGGACATTTTGATCTAAAAAATAATTTTTTTCAAAATTAACTTTTTTTTTAACTTAAGTTAATTCAATATAACTTACGTTAAGTTAATTTTTATTCCTTCAACTTTTAACTTTATTAATTTTGTAAAGCCATTAACTTTAACTTTATTCAGTTAAAAAAAAAACATTAACTTACCCAACCTTGCGAAAATTTTATAACAAATTGTCGCGGGAGGCGGCGCGCTTAGACACACAATAACCGCGAAAAATCTGACGCACAACTCCACGTGCGTCTCACGTACAAAATTCGATAACGATAATTACATGTGCCTCCTGGACTTGGAAATTAGCGACTTTACACTGATGCGGCGCTCGTCTCCAGCAATTCTTCTCTCGACTTTTGGTTCGCTATTCGACGGCCTGCATCCCTCACTGATGCTCCTCGCTGGCTCACCACAAGAATCGGACGCTGATCCTTTCGGGGACACGCAGTGATCACTATCTCTGCAAGGAGGTCTTATCTAATTAGCACGCGGCCCTTGCTCCGCGAATCGCGCGAACCGTGTTATCCTGTATCCTGTGTTCTGGCACGCGGAATTCGACTGGGTTGCAGAGTTTCCTTCGATTGCTTAGAAAACTCTTCCGGATCTTTATTGTGCGGGAGACTCGCATCTCGGGGTCGGCATCCCAGTAATCAGTACCTCCACTTCCGATCTTAGTACCGATCTCTCGGGGGAGATCTCCGTCATAGGATCTCTCGCCGACACTTGGGCGTAGAGTGACCATTCCCGACTGCTGTCCTCGAAATCCCATCGCCATGCGCCTTTAATACGTTGTGATAGAACATATTTCGGATCAAAGCAAAAATATCAAACTATGGAACGATATCACCTGCGTGCTATCCTGCAGGGCGCCCTGGCCATTCCGTCCTCAATCGCTCTCCTCCCGACTCTCGGTCCGGTTGTCTTCTCTCTTCCTCTATGATTCGATGAAACGCTGCAAAATTCACAAGGTCGCAAAGGGGGAGAGGGGTCGCCAATTATCCTGTAAAACTCGCGGTACGATAACGTACGAAAAATGACAAATCGATGCAGAAAATCTGCAGAACGCACAAATAAAAATAAACGTGAAACAGACAAGACAATGCTAAAAGGGTGTGCAGATACGTCCGCCTTACAAAAAGTGCAAGGATTCAGGACGCCAGTCTTGCTCTGTTCGGTCTTACGATTCTTGTGACGGAAAACGTCAATGTTTATGAATATTTATGCGGGTTTATGTATATTTGTACATATTTATACATATTCATACATGAAAAATTTTTTACCGGGATCTTTCTTAAATAATCAAAATTTTTTCTGCGAGTCATTGTTATTTATCATAATTACGTTTACAATTTAAAATAAAGACATTTAAGCTCCTGAACAGTTATTTAAATGTCGAGAATGAAAATTATTTTATATATTTATTTTAATGAGCGACATACTATGCAAAAAAAGTATTTGTCAAGTGTCAACAGAAATCCAAAAATAGAAAACGTGTTTAAATTATCTTTATGAAAATCGAGTCAATTGTATGTATATATACAAGTAATGTATTTATGTACAAGTTATATATTTATTCGGAACTGTCGTACCTTGCAATTTTAAACCAAGTCGTGGCGATGTAATAATCGGAACAATACATATATTGTGAACTTTGACTTGTTATCTTGTATTAAAATCTAAATTTATGGAATATATTGGATTGTCCGGTTCGTGCTGACTAACCTATATAAATTAATAAATGCATACTAAAATTTAAATCTTCTGCGTTTCAATTTTCCTTCAATACCGGCACGAACTTTCCGAACAACCTAATAATAAATGTAATGATGAAATTGAAAATCTTCATCATTCTTCCGGAAATCAAAACTTTATTAATTACGATTAATGAAAAAGGATGAACACTTATTAAAAACTGAGCATTTTAGTAATAATTAAGATACACACCTTTGAAAAAAGATTTGGCAATCTCTTCTTACATTGTAACTTCTTACATTGACTTTAATTTGTACATATCGACATTTAAGAAACCAACTCTTGTGTGAATAATATTGATGTTAACAACTCCTCGTGTTGGTAACCACTGTGCTCATCTGCAGGCCAAGAACCCCTAACGTCGGCTTAGAACGCAGGGTTGTAATTGATGAACAAAATGCCCTGTGAAGAATTCATCAAATACAGCTAAAATATACATTAAATAAAAAAGAATGATATAATAAAATCAATAAAAATCACGTATTTTTTTCTTATATAACATTAAATGTATGTACAATTTTATAATTCATTTTCAATTTTTTATTTTACATAGGAACATTTTTACGTTGTAAATTATTATAAGATCTTATAATATAGATATAAATAAAAATGAAGTTTATAATGAATTATATGCATAACTTTATCCTTTTTTTATTTTTTTATGTATTTAATGTGTTATTTATTATATAATAATAATTTATGTTTTAATAACATCTCCTACATTATTTAAATAACCACATTGTCATAATAATTCTGAGATTATATATTTTATATTAGATTGATCGCTAATAATATAAAAAAAAAATATTTCACATGTAAAAATTGATTTAATGGATGCAAATATACAGCCATGGTGACCAATTATATTCTAGTATAGATGTATGGCTTCTTAGTTATTTAAATGTGGATTAGCCTACTTCAATACTTGTCTTGATATTATGAGTTGAGAAGGCAGTCACGAATTGACCTTTTCTTAGTATTAGAAATTTATTGCTCGACCTCCCTTAATCAGATCATCCAACTACTGCGTTTCGCATAATTGAATCGGACAAATTGATTTCCGTGTCTGGAATTCGTTATTTCTTCCTTTCCTCTCTCTCTCTCTCTCTCTCTCTCTCTCTCTCTC